AGTCTATTCTCTGCCTTCTCCATTCAGGTCAGTTGATAGCTATGCATTTTAGTGTCAGCTATATGCAAAGTGTGGCACTACAACTAAGACAGAAAATGGTTTATACCTGAAGAACTTGGGAAGTCAAGACATATAGGAGAATTATGAATGATAACCTGTGGTGGTATACGTTAGCCACCAATAATGTGCAAGTAGAGTTCAGCTGCAATCAAGCCCTCCACAGTCAAGGGAGGAGATGAGCTTAAGGAGTAAAAGAGGACCTTGGTTTTATCTGAAAGAGCACAGAGCACACCTGCATAGCCCAGCTTTAGTTATTGTAGCCTGTCAGTGTGAGTTTCCTGGGTTGCCTTGGCATGGTGTGTAATTAAATGTGGGTGGGGGTGTGGTGAGGGAGAATCTGATTCTTGCATTTTAATTTCCAAGTACCCACTTTTAGATACATTCATGACAGCTATCTGACGTTTTCCCAGGAAAATATTTAAATGGCCCTAGAAATGATTAAACTGCAGCCTCTGACCACTTAAGTTTTTAATATCCAGTTTAAGTTGACTGCTTATGTTGGTGACTGCATGCATTGGCATTCAGGCAGCATTCCAAGAAGGAATCCTAGAAACAAAAAGGGACTGTCCTTTCTTCTCCATCAAGGCTATATACTTCTCCCCACCCCATAAGTCATGAAAGGTACCAAAAAAGGTGATCCTTCATGAACAACCTCTACTATCTACTCCTCAAACCAACATGTAGGCTGAAAAGGATGAATTCATGCTCAAGCCCTTTTGTCTATGGGAAAACTAGAAATATTTAGATCTCGTTAGTTATACTTTAGAAAAATACCTAAACGATTGGCCTCTATAATGATTCAGAAATTTCAGTCCTATCCTTGATAAGTAAACTAGATGTTCTCTAGAAATAAAATCAGAATGTCTAGCTGAATATTTGACACAATGACATGGTTAGTTAGCTGGCCACACTGTTCTTGATTGTGCTTTTAGAAAGCACTTGACATTATAAATAAAAATACGGGTTACTGTGCCAGAAGAGTTGAAATGTGTGAACAGAGCAACTTTTAAAGTGCATTTTAATACATTTTTAAAAATCAACTTCCTAACAGATTTAGAAACACATTGCTACATACCAACAACTAATACTCATTATAGATGGATAAATGTCTCAGAGGAAACCAGAGGTGATCTCTTTAAAACTCCTCCAGCTCTATTTTTCATCGAATTATTTTTCTTATCAAATGCTTTTAACATTTCTAAAGTTAAAGTAAAAAAATGTTTTCAAATTACTTATTTTTCATTATAGTCTGCCCTAGCTAATGTAATTATTCATGTATTAACCACAAAGTAAGTGTGTTTGAGAATTAGAATTAATACTTCGAAGGTGTTCTTGTTTTCCAGAACAAGAGATTTCTGTCACTTACTGTCTTTTTGTCATCACTGATCTGGTCAAGTCATAAAATGAGGCTCATGCTTTATTGGTTTTATGGCAGTTACAAGTTTAATTAATGACCAAAGACTTTGCACAGTTGCCCACTGCCCTGTTCACTGATTCCCCACTGGTGGCTATGGAAACCATTGCCAGAACTCTGAAGGTAGTTTGTTACTCCCATTGTTTTACCCATATTGGTTGCGTAGTATTTACTGTTTGTCATGGGTTTCTACCATTAGGGGTCCGGGGCTGTTAACTAAACCACTAGTTCCTAAGAATTCCCATGATCCAAGTTGATGGATTGAAACCAAATAGGAATCTAAACTCTTGTTTTCAGCAGGCAAGTATTTTTTTTTTTTTTATGTTGGATAATATAATTGATAAATCACTTGGGAAGCTCTTAAAAATACTAATATTTGGGCCCACCTGCAGATAGTTCATTGCATCTGTATTTTTTAAAGCCCTAACTGCAGCTCAGGTGTTTCTAAAGGGCAGCCAGGGTTGAGACCATTGAATATTCTTGACCACTTTATTGCTGGCTTTCTTGGCTGCACTTTGGCAGTGTTTTGCTGAAACATTGCAGTCACTTGTCAGAGTCTTATGCTGGTGTGCATGTCATCTTATGTGTGCCCTGTAACTATGATGGGTCTTATCGAGTTCCGACAATTGTATATGGGCCATTTAACACCAGCCAGAGTTTCAGTACCATCTGAAAAACATTTTCTGGCAATAAAGTTGACAGATTCCCTCTGATTTCAGTAAATGTTAACTAGTTTAACCTTTAATATTGTTCTTTGCCTTGCTAGTTAGCCTAAACAGAATCCCCGTGACTTTCAGTTGAATTACATAGGCACTTATTAAAGGCTTTCTCCAGTGTCTAGTGCTGTTCTAAGCATTGAAGAGGGCACCAAATAAGAACATAGCATGAAGGGACTCAAGGAGACTCATGTTGAACCAAGGATATACTTTGATTATGACAATGAGGGGAAAAAGAGATGTCACTGGAGTCACAGGAAAAAACTATAGAGGAAAGAATTGTGGCCAAGTCTTGATTGAGCATATGGGTAGACTTTGACTGGCAAAAGCAGCTGAAATTCCAGCCTGTAAAACAATTTAGTAAAGAAGGGCACAGAAGTGAGAGTAATTAAGTCACCAGACCATTCTTAATAAGTAGAGGAAAGGAGTAGTTGAGCAGAAAAAAATCCTATGGGCAAGAAGAATCTCTTTGCATTCATCAAGAAAGACCCTCAAATGCCTGCTTGAGAGGTTGGACCTTGATTGGAAATGCTTTAAAAAGCCCTAGCTTACAAAACTAAGCTATAGTTGAAGAAAAGCTGTTGCCTCTGAGTGGGGAAGATTATGCGGAAAAAGAAAGGAGGATTTACTGTATTGTTAGAAATGTTTTGTATCTTAATTAGGGAGGTGGTTACATAGGTACATACGTTTATCAAAAGCCACCAGCTCTATACTTAAAATCTGTTCATTTTATTGTACATAAATTATACCTCAATTTAAAAATATTTCTTAAAGCTGTGTTTAAAAAGAAGGAGAACCTATGCATTAAAAAACTTAAAAACTAGCAACCAATGGAAATATAGGACTGGGATTCTGATTCAGACACTACGAAAAATATTTTAAGAGACCTTTGGAGAGATTTGAATACTGACTAGATTTGCGATAATCTTTAAAAATTTCTCTTTTTTAGGTTTGTTAGTCTTAGAATTACAATTATTTTTAAGACCTTTTTGCTTTAGAAATGTATACTAAAATATTTATAGATGAAAATGAGAGGATTCCTAGCTTTTGCTTCAAAATAATCTAGTATGAGTGGGCAGAGGAAGTATAAATGAGACTAGATAGCTCAGATCATTGTGGAAGCTACTGATGGGAACACAGAGATTTATTATGTGGTTGTCTGCTTTTGTATATGTTTAAGATTTCAATAATAATAAAAACTATTAATGTATTTGCATCTTAAAAGTCACTGTTGGATCTTGAATGGGTAAAAAAACCTATATAATTCTTTAGCCTTAGAAAAGCAGTGTTAAACAGATTTGTTGTATATCCTTCCAGATTTTTTCTTATGTGTATACATATAATTATTTACCAAAATAGGTTTATTTTGTCCACACTATTTTATGACCTATTTTTAAAACTCAGTAACACATCATACTCATCTTTCTATGTTAATAAATATCCACCTAATCAGCATTTTTAATGGCTGCATGGAATTCCTTTGTATGAATATGCCAGAGCTCATTTCACCAATTTCTTACTGTCATTCTTTGATATCCGCCTCTTTTTATTGTTTTACCCATGGAAACAATGAACATCATCTATATCTTTTTGTATATCCTCAGGATAAAATTTCTAGAAATCAAATTACTAAGTCAAAGACTTTTGTTTTTTAAAAGTGATTTTGAACATAGTTAATCATTATTCACTATAGAAAAAAAAAGACAAATACAGAGAAAAGTTAAAATCACCATAGCTTTCAGATAACTTTTCTATATATGTGTGTATGTATATTAATGTGTTTTAATAGGATCATACCATACATAGAATTTTATTATCTGCTGTTCTTATACGTTCATCACATAATACTTAATCCAATTTTTCTGCTTCGGGCAGTAAACAAATATTAAGCACCTAATATATACAAAAGCAATCTAGTAGGTGCAGTGAAAGAAAGTTGATTAGAACTGTTTGGTGCCCTTAAAACATTTACAAACTAAAAGGGAGTCTAACTAATGCAGTCACACAAATCATCTAGTACCTTGTATTTATAGATCCTTTAAGAGAGTATGAAAGATGGGCTGTGAGAGTTCAGAGAAAGGCAGGTTATTTTTAGTTAGGTGAGGGGGAAGGCTTGGAAGAGGAAGTGATGGGAGCATTTGACCCTGTGAAAGGGAAGAAAGAGCATGCCAGGTAGCAGAAGAGTGTAAGCTATGGTGAGCCGTCAGGAAGAGTAGTTCCATCTACTGGGATGCGGGTCCCATCCCCAAAAGGGCCACAGGTGTGGTGGGAAATAAACTTGGAGAGGTAAGTGGATACAGAGGTGAGTTGGTACCAGGTTGCAGGTGACCTAGAATATCCAGCTAAGCAGTGTGGACTATGTTTCCTGAGTGGTGGGGAGCTTTTTAGGTTTTTCAAGTTTTGTTTTAGTTGGAGTAAGGGAGGATTTGAGCTGAGCAGTATTGCTCTGCAGCAGTGTGCCAGACGGGGCAGGGGGAAAGAAGCAGGACACGCAGGATGCTACGCTGGTGGCCCAGACTAGGTGTAGCAGCCAGAACAGAGAGAAGAGAGGCACTGTGTAGTTAGAATGACAGGCCTTGGCAGATCCGGATGTGGTAATAAAGAAAAAGATGAAAAAGTCAAGAAAGCCTTGGGGCTTTGAGTTTGGGTGGCTTCGACAGTAGTGCCATCCCACAAAGAAAACACTGAGAAAAGCACTTGAAAAAACAATGAATTGCAAGACTCCTTTTTTTCTTCTTCTTTTCAAACTGTTTAGCCCATTTGTTTGGTCCTAGCATCACACACTTCTGCACCCTTCTCCTTCCTGACAGGAAATAATCTGGAATATACCTGTAAGTGTGGAGGCCTTCAGTCAGGAGGACCATTAAACATCCAAACATCCTGGCATGAGCGAGAGGAGAGGTCCACAGAAGGGGAGCCCTTCAGCAGCCAGGATACCTTCCCCTCTCAGGAAAGCACGCTATCTCCAGTGAACCTGACAGACGACCAGATAGCCGCTGGCCTCTATGGTAACTTTCCTCACTCACCAGTCCTTCTAAGCATCAGGATCCTAGCAGCAGCATTCCAGTCTCATGTCAGTGTGCCTCAGAAATTGACCTAGAAGAACGATACACAGTTGTTGGGAAGGTAGACCTAGAATATCTTCAAGATATTCTAGAAAGAGCTGTGAAGTCCCCTTCGGAAAAACTCATAGGGTTTTGTGAATTATGAAATATTTTAAAGAGCATTTGGCTCTTTAACTGTTGGGCAGGCATAAATTTTTTCCTGGTTATCTCAACTGAAGAAAAACATTAATCCCTATTTTAGTACCTAAGTGGTTTTTGAAGATCAAACGAGACACAACATCACTTTATAAACAGTAAAGTCTGATACAAATGCTAGTTGTCTCTGCTTTTGTTATGTCTAGAAATACTAGTGGTTTTTCTTTTTCATTTAAAGAACGTTATTAATGGAACTTTGGATTATTTTCTTTGCATGCACACAATTTTCCAATGGATTTTCTGCAAGTTTCTCATATGTACATGCCAAGATTTGTATTTACATAAATGAGAAAAAAAATAAACGTACATGAAGAAAGATTACCTCTTCACTTAACTTGTATGGGTATGAGTTATGTTAATTTTGATTACCTTGGTTTACTTTTTTACAGTATATACAAATAATGAAAGTACACTGAAGTCCATCATGAAGAAGAAAGATGGCAGCAAAGATTCAAATGGAGCAAAAAAGAATCTTCAGTTTGTTGGCATTAATGGAGGGTAAGGAAAGATGATGTTACTAGTGTTTACACATAATCTGTCTGTCTCCTTTGCCTCCTGCCTACTCAAGTTATATTTAAAGGCGCCTAGTCTGGGATGCTGCCACATCTTGGTGATGGAAGATCCCCTCCTCAGAAAGGTGCATTTGGGCTTCTCTTCTCTCCTCCTCTTGCTGTCTTTAAGGACTTCACTCTTAAAAGGATACCTCATGAAGCTGAACCATTTACATCTTCTCACCTCTGATATGAAAAAAATAGTCTTCAACAAAAGCAGCAGGTTTCCTGCACTATTGGACAACTTGTACTTACCTGTATCAGAACTCAGAAACAAACATGGAGACCAAGAGCATCACTCCATGGGCCAGTGATAGTCCCTCCACTTCTTCAAAATGGGTTGTTTTGCTTGGCTCTCCATATTTACAAACAAAATTGTAGGGCCATTCGCCTGAAGAGTAACTTAGCCATGCCATCAGTTCTTAGCTTTCTAAATAGAATGTTTATTAGTTGTTTGTTCCTTCTCTTCTAATTGGTCAGGAAAATAGCTAAACCTGTTTGCCCTCCTACAGTTAAATCAAAGTAATTAATTTATTAATCGATACATGGCCTCGAAAAGAAAGCAGTAGTGTAGAGTTAGTTGAAATAATATTTATATTAAAGTGAACCACAGAGATTTAACTAATGGTGACTGTTTTCCAAATATTTCAAGTTTTATTGGGTGTCGTGGCCCAGGAGGTATTGGAGGACATGTACCAGAGGAACTATTGGTTACTTATATAATCCCAGTTCACTTAGACACTGGGAGAATTAATAGAGTGAAGTAAGAATGAAAGCAGGGGGAAAAAAGGAACAGGAAAAATGAACTGCAGATCTGGTTTATAAGATGTTTCCTTTGACTTATACTAATCCAGAGGTGCTCTCTATATATAGTATATATTTTTTCGAGAAGGTAGTATATGATACTAACTGGCAACCCAAGTTATCCCTCTTAAGTCAAAACCCATTCAAAACCACCAGGCTTTTATATAGACCTTACTTTGAACTTCTAAGTGCAGGGTCTAAAACCACTGGTGAAATGTCTGGAGTCGGCAGCTTTTCCTTCATAGAATTTTCTGTCACTGGGTCTTTATGGGCACACCTTGCATCTCCTGAACTCCCAATTGCCACCTAGGTATGAAACAACTTCAAGTGATGATTCCAGCTCAGATGAAAGCTCTTCTTCCGAGTCAGATGACGAGTGTGATGTCATTGAGTATCCTCCTGAGGAAGAGGAGGAGGAAGAAGACGAAGACACTCGGGGAATGGCGGAAGGGCATCATGCAGTTAATATGGAAGGTTGCGAGTCCGCCAGGGTGGAAGATGAGATGCAGGTTCAAGAATGTGAACCTGAGAAGGTGGAGATCAGAGAGAGGTGTGGTACATTCCCCTCCCCTCCCCTGACCCCTCCAACTTTAATGTACTTTGGCTAGTAGGAGATTTTGCAGTTGTAGCCACCTGTTTGGTCTTTCCAGTCTCCAAAGGAAAGCTAAATTTTCTCTGTTCTCAGAGGTACATACATCTTGTGATGCTAATAAGTGCAGGTGCAGAAGGTAATAACTGCTACATCTCTTACAGTAGCGAAGAGAAAGGCTTGATATCTGATCACCTTTATTTTAACTGTTTGCTGTCTAATTGTATATGTGGAGCTACCATCACGGAACTATTAAGTGCCACTAAAGTTTCCACCTTATATATAAAGGCATATTAGAATTTTTTGTGACAGAGCACATGTCTTTTAAGGTTTCAGATTTTACCATTAGCCATTTATCTTGATACAGATGTCAATACTGTTATTGCAGGATCATTGTGTGTGAGAGGAACAGTTTTTTGGCCTCAACAAAAGATCACATTTACTCTAAAAATGATGTAATCAGTCATATGTTTATATTTTGTTGCTCAGTGAGTGATTGGGAATGTTATAAGAATGGATTTGGGAATATAAACAGCAGCTGAAATATCTATTACCACTCTGGTTGGCTGAAACGTGTACCTAAAAATGAAGTAAATTTTAAAGACTACAGCAAATATGGAATCAGTGCTTATGAAACAGGAGAGAATAGAACAGATAGAAATTTCAGTATGGTTTTCCCTATGTGAAATATTAATAGAACATTTTAGAAAACTTACCTCTATTTAATTCAGGAAATGAAAGTTTAACTGTGTTAGCACAAGGTAAGTGTTTTTAGTTTGTATTTCCAAGTATTTTCAAATGACTCAATATCTTGTCATCTGGTTTTTTCAACAGCTTTATTGAAATATAATTTATATATCATATGTCATCTCGTTTTTAAATTTATAATTTCATGTGGGTTAAACAAACATTTCCTGAGTCACCAAATATGAGTTCAGATGTGGTTTACTGGTCAGCATAATGGATATGTAGGAATACAGACCTCTTCAACCCCTTAAAAGTAAAAAGTATTTTTAAGAACTTAGAAAAAAAGGAGTGAAAAATCTCCAGATATCATTCCGTAATGTCATAAAGGCCTAACTGGTGAAGCCAAAAGTTACATTTATGAAAAGACCTGAGCTCTGAGGCTGGAGGCATTGGCTGTTGTGGTAGCATCAGTCCTCAGATGCCTAGGGACTCCTGGAATGCCTCCAGGCAAGCACCTTGTACCAGGATGACCCTCCGAGGTCGGCTTGGGGCTTCTTGTCTTTTAAAGTGTTTATATATAGAGTTTGAGATAAAAATGCCTTGCCTTTCGTGGCCAACCATGAGCCCTCTTTCTGTTTTTTGACTCCTTAGGTATGAATTAAGTGAAAAGATGTTGTCTGCATGCAACTTACTGAAAAATAATATAAATGACCCCAAAGCTTTGACCAGCAAGGATATGGTGAGTCTGACCTACAGACAGTGTTCCCAATCTATACAAAGTGCCCGAGTGGACACCACTGTCAAGGCAGCTCTAGCCTGCCCCTGAGCTGTTGTCGCCAGCATGCTTCTTCCCCACACAATTTCTTCCATCTGTAGGCAGAGGAAGCATTATATTCCCCACTTATTGAGTCACACTGTGAATCCTTCCCTCAGGCCCAACTTCAGATACCCTTTTAGCCACCCTGTACTTTTTTCAGGGATGGTGCATCTGTGAGGCATATATTTGCACATGGAAGGAAGGGCTAATTGCAGTCATTTATCATCTTTTTACATATTCTGGTTGTACTTACAAAATCTCGTGATCCAGAATTTCTTTTAAGTTAGCATCTGTTTTTAAAAGAAATCTATCTGGGCCAGAGTCAACATTTGTTTTAATTATGAAACTGCTTATTATGTTCTGATGTGGAGGCCACTATTTTTAAACATGAAGATAACTACATTTGTCATCTTCTCAAAGTTTCAGAGATTCAGAAGCGAACAGCAAAGACATTGATGGTTGCCTTAGTGAGCGTGAATGGCAAAACATAGGACAGATAGATATTTCTATAACAATGGTGAATCTGATGCCATTGCCAAGTATATCATACGTCACTCTCTTGTGCACCAGCGAAGTTCTGATATGCAGCTTCTTTTATAGGTCAGACCAAGCCTCTGGTTGGCAACTATGATCAGTGCATTGAAAAAATGTACCTTTTCATGCTATTTTAAATAATATGTGCATTTTGTTTTTAGATTTTAACAATAGATTTAATATGAAGTTTTATGTTGAATAATTTAAGTCAGCAGCTAGTGAGAAAGTTGATTTATAAAGCTCACAAGATTATAGAGTCATGAAACCAAAATGTTAGGGTTGAATGGAGTTAAGGAATTGTCTAACTGTGGAAAGGCAAATAGATTTCCTTTCATACAACAAACAATCTGAAGAAGAATTATCGATGGCTATCACAGGTGTAAGAATTGCTTGGGTGTGCGTGTTCTTGAGGCCACTCTATTCTGGTCATCCTGCTTTAAATGAGGCCCTAAAGATTACAAGTCCTGTCAAGAGGTGACAGCCATTAGTGTTGGGACTAGATTATACCTATCTTGAGGACTGGTCCATGTTTTTAAAAATTTTTTTTATTATTATTATTTTTTAATCCCAACTAAATCATATTAGCTTATTACATGGTATCTTCTTTTAAAAAATGATGGTGTCTTCATATTTGTTTATGTTGCTATAGAAACTTAAGTTCATCAGAGCCAGTTGAGTCTTGACATTCAGTTAGTGTGCTGAAAAAGGAGCGTGGCAGTGATGTTTACAAAAGGAAATAGCTACTAAAATTCCTGGGACATAGAACTACATGCTGAACCCCGTCAGTGATAAACTAAATGCCTATCTATACCTCAGTCACAAAACCATGAAACATCACTGTAGTATTAGTATTTTCCTCTAGGTTTAACCTAGACTTAAAAACTAGTGCTTTTGGACCCCAAGTTTTGTAGTGGTAATAAACTTTTTCTTTTACTACTCTCAAAATACTAGGTTATATGGTCATCAGGGAGGACATGACATTTCTATGGCCCCAGATTGCCAAGCATATTGTCAGATACACACTCTGTGATCAGTACATTTTTGTTAATTGAATATCGATTCAGTAAAAAAGTGTTTAAAGTATTGTGCTGTGAAAATTAGTGGACACATGAATGATCACAGTGTCGGGGTCATATAACCCTATAGGCCTATAGGACGCAAGGTTAGGACACCCAGGTGAGATTAATTTCACTTCCTTCCAAAGAAATAGAAATACAAATTGTAAAAGAGTGAGCAGAAGAAAAAATGTAGATGAAATATTTTCTTGGTAAGGACTCTTCATGAGTTGACCAAAATATGATTGAATGGACTAAAACCAAATAATCGGTAGCAAGAAGATGGAGATGGAAGCTATACAATCCCAATCCCACCTTTCTATAGAAAGAGGACTTCTTGGGTTCTGGTGCTTTTGACATAGACTTCCCATTTTTCTTTGATACAATTTTAAACTTTTAAAGAGCAAACAGTGCACAAATGAATAGTAAATTCGTATAAAAGAGAGGCCTTGAGAAAACATTGTAGTTGTTCCTATCACCAGCCCTGGCTATGCCCAGTCTGCCTTGAACTTCACATGGTCCAAGTTTGACCTGATCATCCATGAAACACATGCCATGTTCATGTGCCTACACCCTAAGGGAAGGCGAGTGGGGGTGACAGTCAGATGCAGGTGATTCTAATGGGAAATGTGATTTGTCCCAGATCTGTTTTTTACTCCCTTTCCATGGCTGAACATTTGTATTTGGGATTGGAGTGGGAATTGAGTTGGCTACATGCTTATGGTCTCCCCAGCCTAGTGCTGTGGAAATGTCGAAGGAGTCAGGGTTTGTCCAGATAGGGAGGAAGCAGTGTATTAAGTGTGAGCTAATCTTATGTGTCAATTACTATGAAGATCATTTGCAAGGCCAGCATAACTACATAGTATTAATAGTTCAGTAATAAATAAAGCCAGGCCTAAGAGTTTTACATGTATTGCCTCATTTGTTCTTATCACAGACACTATGAATGAAAGGTATTTTTGTTGTCCTCATTTTGCAGACAAGGAAACTGAGGCACAGAATAAGTATCTTCCTTAGAATCATACAGCTCATAAGGAGCAGAGTCAGAATTTAACCTCGGTGATATAGCTCTTGCACAGTGCGATATGGCCTCTTTTATAGAATTTGGAATATGTTTGTGGTTAAAAATCCAGAGGGATGGTGCAGTTTGGAGTGTGAGGCTTCTCATAGAGCTCTGGGTTTTGTTAGTTGTTTTTGAGAGCCAATTTTAACTTCATACACTTTGACTATAAAAGGCCTTGTTTCTTGGGCTTTTAGCTAGGTTTCAGAAAGTCCATAAATAGAAGAATTAATGGCCATTCGCTTGGTGTTTTGGCAGAGGTTCTGTCTGAACACCCTCCAGCACGAGTGGTTCCGCGTGTCCAGTCAGAAGTCAGCCATTCCAGCTATGGTGGGGGACTACATAGCTGCCTTTGAGGCCATCTCCCCGGACGTCCTTCGTCACATCATCAACATGGCTGATGGCAATGGCAACACCGCCCTCCATTACAGTGTGTCACACTCCAACTTTGAGATTGTGAAGCTGCTCTTAGATGCCGGTAAGTTGGTCGTCCTGGTCTCTAACAGCACTTGGGTTGTGACTCCCCTCAAAGAAGCCGGTTGGTCCACTCCTCAATTCTGTGACCATCCTAAAATCCTCTCATTGCTTTTCCACGTGATGTGGCAAGGATAGTATTCTTGACTCATCATGGGAGGCTTGATATTTAAACAAAACTGAGCGACACAGATTTTAGATCTGTTTTGAAAGGAGGTTTTGAGGACATTCTTGCTGCAGTTCAGCTGCATTCAAGTGAAGTGTATCCCTGGTAATAAACTTGACTCACGTTCCCTCCTCAGCTGAATCAAGCAGGCTGGTGGGGCCAGAGTCGCAGTTTTGGTGTTTATGGGCTGCTCGATTTGTGCTCGTTCCATGATCTCTATCCAGCTATCTCGTGGAGGTGTGCGGTTAATCAAGATGGGGACCAAGCAAAGCCACTGTAACAGGCCATGGTTGAATCATTCCCATTCCTGCCAAAATACACCCGGTCATTGGGAAATCAGCATAGAGTGAAGAAAGTGTTATTCTTATATCTGAACCATAGCATTGAGACTAGTGAGCATTCTTGTTTATAATTGGAACCCGACATCCCAGGATATAGCCAATGGGTATATTAAATGTGCAGTGGGGGAGTGGTACATAGAAGGGTCCCTCTGAGAAATAGTGAGCTTTCAACTTTTTATGCAAATGTAGTAGCCTGGTGATACATATTGTCCCCGAATCACTTTCATTTATTTTTGAAATACTTATTTTTACTTCTTATATGTGACTGATACAGAGTTTACAGTACCTCATTCTAATTAATGAGAATACAATGTGAACATCTGATTTAGAATATGAATATAAAATTGTCCGGTTTTCCCATATTTCTGCTTGACCCAACCGTCCAATTTTTTCTACTCTGTTTTGGGGATGTTGGATTAATGCAGAGAAGCAGATTTATCCTTTTTTCTATCTAAGTTTGCTTGTTCCCAAATGCAGGGGCCATGTTAGAATAAAACTGCTTCCATTTTTCATAAAGGAATTCCAAGCCTCCTTCCCTTCAGATTTTCCAGTCGATAAACAGAGTCGATGATACTGTCAGCCCAAGTTATTGTTTAAAGAGAGAAGTTCATAATGTCCAGGAAAGCTAAAAACAAGATTTCAGGATTATTCCTGAAAGTTATGATTTAATCTACCCTTGGAAAATTTATGTGGACAAGATATTTCGGTAAATTAAATGATTTTAATTCCATTGTTGGATGGCTTTGGTTAACCACTACTTTTCTGGATTTACTTAACTTTATACTGCTCACCATCATAGGCCGAGATTCTGGCTCCACAAAGTGTGTTTGTGAATGTGCAATACCGCAGCATCTGTGAAGAACTGAACGTCACATACTGAGGAGCCTGAAAGAGCACCTCTGCTCACTCACTTCTCCATCACACAGCCTTTTCTTTTCTTTTTCCTTTTCTACATTAAAAAAAAATATGCACTATTGTAAATGCCATATGTCCCTAGTGTACAGTTGTTTTAGAACTCAAGGGTACTTTTCATGGTACCTAAACAGCTTAAGTGTACTTGGTCACACATGAAAAACTTCTTTCTTGCATTCTCCATTCCTTTCATTTTATTAGAAAGTGCTAAAGGAATTTAAAAATGCTAGGAGGATAATTTAGCCCTGGAAGGCCTCTTAAGAATTATAGGAATAGAAAACGTCTGGTTTTTAGGGTCTGTTAGTCCCTTGCAATTTCTTAGGGGACTTTACTGCATTTGTTCTCAGATCACAATTCCTAGAGTAGGTGTCATGTGATTGAAATCCTGCTTTTAAGAGCCTCAAACAAGTCAGATGAGCAAACCCAGGGTCCCAGCGTGGGTAGTGGTTTATACGCAGGTAACACCATATTCAGAGTTCCTTACACAAACCTTTACAAATCTCTTTCGCTTGTAGCTCTCACTGCTTTTTTTTACTCCAAAATAGTGATTTTCTAAACACAGATTAATGTCTAGATCTCACATTATTGTTTATTCTTCACAGCAGCCATTACTTAGAACAACCTCTCAGACCTCTAAGCTATTACAGTTCAACCACCAGCTGCAAACAAAACATGCCATGAGAGCTCACTGTTGCTTCTGGCCTCACGAAATAAAGAAAAAAGTGTTTTTTGTTTGCTATAAAAACATCTCTCACATGTTCGTTCTTCCAAGTCACTGTCGTACTTTGATTACCTGAGGCCATTCCATTGGGTTCTTCCAAACACCATACCTTCAGTTCATGTTAGGAGATGGCATCTCCCTAAAGAGACTCGTGTCTTTGCAGATGTGTGTAACGTTGACCACCAGAACAAGGCGGGCTATACCCCAATCATGCTGGCAGCCCTCGCCGCTGTGGAAGCAGAGAAGGACATGCGGATTGTGGAAGAACTCTTCGGCTGCGGGGACGTGAATGCCAAAGCTAGCCAGGTGAGTGCACTTGCTTTGTTTCCCAAGTTCATGTTCATGCTCGCAAACTCAGCTCTGACCTGCACAGGTTTCCACACTACACTTCCTACCACTGAGCACTGACTCACTGGCCCAGCCCCGAGTCCATGTGGCTGCCTGGCAGTCCTAGATGACCAAACACACTGATGAAGTACTGGCTTAAACCTCACACTGGAAACTTCTCCGTCCTTTGCCTTGCATTGCCTCAGTTGGAGCGGTATGCATAGAAACTGTAGGTCAGCCTACTTATAAGTGACTGGGAGTCCTCAGCATCTACTAGATGACTGCCGTTTTCTGACTGTGTATGTAGTATCTTCATACATCGAGTGCCCGTAGTCCAGATGTGTTCACAGTTTGACTTTTAACCATCTTCTAAATCTCCCAGCTCTTTGATATAATGAGACAGATCTTCCAAGCTAAAGGGAACATTTGACTCATTACTTTATGATCTGACTTAGCTCATAGCACATCAGAAACTGGTTGCTCCTTGCCTGCCATCACCAGGCCCCATGTGCTTCCATGTCCAGTTTTTTCCCTCTATCATCACACTCCCTCTTCCCCTTCCCCGCAGCACAGCCCCACAACAGGCCATACCCTGCCAGCCTGGTATGTACTTCTGAAGTCTGCTGTCATTTCTTCTCAAAGGCAGGACAGACGGCTCTCATGCTGGCGGTCAGTCATGGGCGGATAGACATGGTGAAGGGCCTGCTGGCCTGTGGAGCTGATGTCAACATCCAGGATGATGAGGGCTCCACCGCCCTGATGTGTGCCAGTGAGCATGGGCACGTGGAGATCGTGAAGCTGCTGTTGGCCCAGCCGGGCTGCAATGGCCACCTGGAGGACAACGTAAGCCATCTCCATTGGGACTCCATGCCAGGGGCCTGCAGGGACGTGGGGAGGGAGCTCCATTAGTGCTGCTTGGCAGGGGGAAAGAGCACATCCTCCTTGAGTGTCCTTAGGGATTTATGTTGCCAGCCAGGCCGCCTTCTTCCATGGCCCAGCTTGGCATCATGTGCTGTGTGCCAGCTGATACTCCCATTAACCAAAGCCAAAGGCAGAAAGATAAATAGGCCTCACCCCAAAATTTATTAAGGGAAGAAAGTGATGGGCCTATACTAGAACCAGCACATAAAAGGTGATAAACAGATTTACAATACAGAATCAAATTCAGTGTTGGCAACTTCTAAATCCACTAAGAAGAAAGAGTCAGGTCCCTGGTCCATTTGGAAACCTGTATTACTTGCCATTGCAAGCTGGCGTTATTGGGTGACTAGAAGTATTGTTATTACAAAGAAGCACTTTCCCACCCAAATAAAGTAAAGGCAGGTGTGCTCTTCACTAGAGCCCATTGGAGTGAATAATTTGTGATTTTTCATCAGCTAGGGGATCCAGACTGTCCTGGCTTTTTTTAGGCACATCTTTCCACTCCTGCTCAGGCTGTTATCTCCTCGCCGGATTCCCAAAATGTCCCCATTCCCAGATAAACCTTTGACTGGAAAACATTCTAAGGAAAGCTGTTCCTTCTGGATATCTCCAGGCCAAAGGGAACAGCACTGATAGGTGAAGGCACAGTAATTAACATTTGAGTAGTGACATGGTTCAAAAGTCCAGAGGTCATAAAACCATCCAAAAGTCATAGAGGTTGAGCTGGGTTGGTTCTGTTTTTAAAAGTTTGTCTCTGTGGAGCACAGGTTTGGAACAGAGCTTCCTTCAGTTCAAAACACTAAAAAGTTAGAGGGGAAACATCCTTCTTTGTACCACACTTCAGATCCCTGTGGGCCCGAGCCAGCAGGAAGAGCAAACCAATGCAAGTATTTACTGGCATGAAGGGCTGACGCTTCTGCCGTTGTACCGGATTCCCTTACTTCCGCTGGAGCGGAAGGAGAGTTCTCAACCTGTCTTTCCTTAGGAACAGTTTGTGTTTCATGTGTCTCATTTTTTGTTTATTTGCTTTTACTTCTCTCTCAGCAAGAACAGCTTGCAGATATAGTAATAAGAGACCATAGAGCTACAGTGACTTCCAGAAATCCTAGTCATCTCAGCTAATTGTCTACTTCCTTGTCCTTAAAAGAGTAGGAAGGCATCCAGCTAGCCTCCGGAAGAAAACGGGCCTCCCAGAATTCACAGAATGAGAAGGAGGAACTATAAGATTCAAACCACATGCAAATTACTTCCTGCTGCTCATGACCAAAAGGGAATCCTTATTTATTCCAAGACTAGACAGAAAATAAATTGTGCTGTTTTTTGCCTAGTGCTCCTTTATATCCATCTAAATCCCTGCAGTTTACTGGAAACCAAACATTTAACTGAATATTTTTCCTTCGCATATTTATTATTTCCCTAGTAGTTCCATAAGATACATTTCTGCAGGCCAGCAAGATTTAGTGCTTTTACATCAGTGTTCCTCATAGCAGTCCACAGGGATAGTTACAGCTGTAGGATCAGCTCACTTCTCAAGAGGAAAATTAAGAGATCTTTGGCAAATTTCAGGACATCAAAACATGTACCATGATACTTGCCTGCTCATTTGTAATTATAAGAAAAAAGAAGAAAGTAAATTATGTTTTTACCCCTATCATCTCCTACTGTCCCCCCGCTGGTGGACTCAGTGGTTGAATGAGAGTTCTTCATGAGCAGTCTTTGTTTGCTGGAGATCCAGGGCATGCAGACCTGCACACTAACTGTGGGGCAAAGACGAGGGGAACGGGGTGATTCTTTTCCTGACTGATTTCCTTAGGGTCGGGACTATGCCTCATTCATCCTTATATTTAAGGCTTAGCACATAGAGGTCCAGAAAAGTTTCCTAAAATACTGAACAAATGGCAAGATTTGGGGAACCTTATCAATTACTGGAGGATATTTTGTTTTGTTATATTGTGGCTGTCTAGAAGTTTGAGAAATCTAACTTGGCTCATTCATTTCATAATTTTTTCTTAAGGATGGCAGCACCGCGCTCTCCATCGCTCTGGAAGCAGGACACAAGGACATCGCCGTTCTTCTGTATGCCCACGTCAACTTTGCAAAAGCCCAGTCTCCGGTCAGTGTTGTGCATTTGTCGTTTGTTAATAGGCTGAAATCCACCAGACTGGTGGGCCTGCTTCCTCTGGGAGTTGACAGGAGACACAGGTTTTATGATGACTCTGAAAATAGAAGTTTTAGTCTAGAACATAAGAGTTCATCATTTTTAACCAGTCCAGAGGGCCAGGAGTGCTAATGGTTAGCGCAGCAGATGCTGGACCCCTGCTTGTCCTTAGGAGACAGACACTCTCACACCCTCGCATGAAGGGTTTATTCTGGGCAGAATTATCCAGATGGCACATACTGAGCCCCATGAATACATATTGCCACATTCCTGGCAATTTTCCTAATGTAGATAGTGTGAGCAGCACCCCGTGGTCTCAGAATCCACTCTTAGTGGGAAGATGACATCCCAGGACAGCGGGACGTGGCACTGCTGAGCCCAGCTGGCTCCTGAGCTGCTCCTGCTTATTGGACCTGTGTCTTGTGTTCCAGCTCTTCTCACTCTGGCTCATGGTTGTTGTCAGCTATTGTAGACAGAGTTCCTATGTCACAGAGGACACATCTGCCTGAAGTCGCTTATTCATCCCCATTTTTTTTCCTTTGCTGGTCTCTAGGGCACCCCTAGGCTTGGAAGGAAGACATCTCCTGGCCCCACCCACCGAGGTGCATTTGATTGATTATGTGCAAATAGCCATCCATTTACATGCCACCATTAAGCTGCTAATTGTTCCTGTTGGGGTGACACATACTGAATGTATATGTATTGTGCCTGAGCTCACCAGCAAACAGAACGCATAAAGCCAAGGACTAAAGGCTGGAGCTGTCACAGTGGAAGCTGAGCCTGCAGGAGATTGTCAGCGGCCACACACCGCCTCCCTTCTGGCCATCTTCCCTCCGTGTAGGGCACACTTGACCCCAGTCACTGTTGCCGTTGCCGTTGCTGTTGCTCTTGAGTCTCTGCTCCGTTATGTACAGTTGTAGGAAACTGTAACCTGACCTGAGCAGGCAACTTGTATTCCTTTTCTCTACCCTCCCTCCCCACCACCCCCTGCCACTACTGCTAAGAAGTGTCAGGTTCTCGTGGTGTTTTAAAATTTTCCACAAATATTTATATTTACTAATGTGGAACCATTGGAAAGCTCTTTGAAAATTCCATTCCAGGATGGTTTTGTTGATTTTTCTTTTCTCTTTATTATCTTAAAGTAAGTTAGTTGAGGTGACTTTGATGATCAGCAACTTGGGCCTGGGCTGGTAGGTTTCTGGTTTAAAAATAAAGATGGAACTCTAAAAAAGTATACAACTTACAAAAGGAAATCTTTTCAGTTGGTTTTACCTAGGTGGATATATTATATGACTTTTTATATAAAATATATCTATATAAAATTGACACAGTATTTTCAACTTTTATATTCCGTGGTAATAAAAGACATGAAGAACTACATGTAACAATACCATATTTTTATTAATAATTGCACAACTCTGTATCTCATGATAAAGGTTGAATTGCATTAGATGAATTGGCTATTTACCTCTAGAGAAATATAGTGTAGTTCTCCATGTATTTATGGATTCCTTTATACCATGTCACACTTACTTTGGTCTTATATGTATTTAAGTGTTTGAAGTGCCTTAGACTCTTGCCATATTTTCAAAATAAAATTTCATTAAGCTCTTTACTTGTCCCTGCTTTATTTCTGACAGCTGTCTGCCCCGATTCTATTGACTTATGGCAGTGGCAGCACAAGCTGATGGGTGGATTGCACAGGGAGGGTGAGTGCAAGACCAGAGGAGACATCGTATGAGAGCACTACTTCGTCTCTACAGCTCTGCTCATTACTCAGGTTACACGCTGTGAGTCTGAAATTTAACAGCTTGTTAGGCAAGCTGTTCATCAGACCAGTAGTCTCCCAGGAGGAGCCAGTGAGTTAACGCTTCTCAGGCGCAGAAGCACTAGTCCTCGATTCTAATTTTTGATGCAACGGTTGGGTGTAACTGGTTGAAACCTGCAGTGATGAGAAAGGAGAGATGAAGTCAGACTTTTTATTTCAGCCTGCTGTTAGCCCAACAGCACCTGTTTTCAAGTCCTTTTTATTTTTTTAATTTTATTACTTTTTTTTAATTAATTTATTTCTTATGGTGACATTTGTTAACGAAATTCAGTAAGTTTCAGCTGTATCAAGTCCTTTTTAAACAGTAAAAGGGATTGAGTCCATCTCATTTAAAAAAACGAAGCATGGTGGCCAAAGTGCACACTAGGTGTTTCGGCTGAGTTGGTGATGGTGGATTTTTTTAACCCAGGTCAGTTGTGAGAGGCAGGTACACTGGAGAAATGCCACTGAGACTTTAACTTTGTTTTCAATAACTCTTATTTTTCAGTTAACAGTGGACATACCATTCCAGGTGTATAGCATAGTGATTAGACATTTAACTTATGAATTGATCACCCCGATAAACCTACTACCCATCTAACGACCATACATAATTATTACAATATTGTTGGCTGTATTCTCTATACTGTACTTTACATCCCCATGACTATTTTGTAACTACAAATTTGTACTTCTTAATTCCTTTCCCCTTTTCACTCATTCCTTCAACCCCCACTCCCATCTGGCAACCATCAGAATGTTCTGTGTATCTATGAGTTTGTTTTGTTTGTTTATTTTGTTCTTTAGATTCCACATATAAGTGAAATCCTATGGCATTTGTCTTTGTCTGACTCCTACTCAGCATAATAAGTCCCTCGATGTCATTGCGGATGGCAAGATTTCATTATTTTTGTGGCTGAGTAATAGTCCATTGCTATGTGTACTACTTCTTCTTTATCCATTCATCCACTGATGGACACCCAGGTTGCCTCCATATCTTGGCTATTGTAAATAATGCTGCAGTGAACATGTGGATGCACATGTCCCTTTGAAGTAGTGTTTTGAATTTCCTCAAATAAATACCCAGAAGTGGGATAACTGGGTCCTTCTTTGTCTCTTGTTAAAGCATTTGCTTTAAAGTCTATTTTTACTGGTGTAAATATCGCTACCCCAGCTGTTTTTTTGTTTTGTTTTTCTGTTTGTTTATTTTGTCATTTCCATTTTCATGAAACATCTTTTTCCATCCCTTTACTCTCAGACCGTGTGCATCTTTTGATTTGAAGTGTGTCTCTTACAGACAGTATATGTGAGGGTCTTTTTTTTTTTTTTTTTTTTTTTTTTTTTTTTTTTTTTTTTTTGATTAGGGCATTTAATCCATTTACATCTAAAGTAATTGTTGTTATGTAGTTACTGGCCATTTTATTATTTGTATTTTTTATCTTTTTTCTTTCTCTTAAGTCCCTCCAACATTACCTGTGATACTGGCTTAGTAGTGATGAACTCTTAGCTTTTTCTTGTCTGGGAATCTCTTTATCTGTCCTTGGATAGCTTTATTGGGTAGAGTAATCTTGATTGTAGGTCCTCGCTTTTTATCACTTTGAATATTTTGTGACAGTCCCTTCTGGCCTGCAAAGTTTCTGTTGAGAAATCAGCAGTCTTATGTGAGCAACCTTGTAAGTAACTAACTGCTTTTCTTTTGCTGCATATTCTTTCTTTGTCCCTAATTTTTGGCATTTTAATTATGATGTCTTAGTGGGGGCTTCTTTGAGTTCCTTTTGTTTAGGACTCTCTGTGTTTCCTGGGCTTGTGTATCTGTTTCCTTTGCCTGGTTAGGGAAATTTTCCATCATTATTTCTTCAAATAGGTTTTCAATTCCTTGTTCTCTTCTGGTACCCCTATGATGCAAACGTTGGTACATTTCAAATAGGTTTTCAATTCCTTGTTCTCTTCTGGTGCCCCTATGATGCAAACGTTGGTACACTTGACGTCCCAGAGGCCCCTTAAGCTATCCTCATTTTTTTTGGATTCTTTTTTCTTGTTGCTGTTCTGATTGGGTGTTTTCTGCTACCTTATCCTCCAAATTGCTGATTTGATCCTCTGCTTCATCTAATCTTTTGATTCCTTGTAATGTATTCTTCATTTCAGTTATTATGTTCTTCATTTCCCACTGGGTCCTATTTGTTTCCTATCTCCATTTTTGTGATTACTTTCTCTTTCTTGAAGTTTTCACTGAGATCATTGAGCATCCTTATAACCAGTGTTTTGAGCTCTACATCTGGTAGATTGTCTGCATTTCATTTAGTTATTTTTTCTGGAGCTTTGTTCTTTCATTTAGGACATGTTTTTTATCTCCCCATTTGGCCGTCTCCCTGTGTTTACATCTATGTATTAGGTAGAGCTGCTGTGTCTCCCAGTCTTAATAGAGTGGCCTTACATAGTAGGTGTCCTGTGGGGCCCAATGGCTCAGTCTCCCTGATCACCTGAGCCAGGTGCTCCAGGTGTGTCCCCTGTGCGAGTTGTATATGCTCTCCTATTGCAGTTGAGCCTTGGTTGCTGTTTGCATGTCAGTGGAAAGGATTGACTCTCGGGCTGATAGGTTATAAGGACTGGAGATGACTGCAATGTAGAAGCTGTTGTACAGGTGTTGACCCTGTGGAGCAGGATTTACTTTATCAGAGCTCTGGTGCCTGCTGAGTCTGCCCTTTTGGGTGTGCCATTTGTGGAGATGGTTGGGTGGTGCTCTGCTGTGGTCTAAAGCTGGTCATCAGATATGTTGGTCCTGGGTCCTCTGGAGAGGGGCTCTATTGCAGGCCAAAATCAACAGCTACCTTTGCCCTGTCTGCGGCCACTCAGTATGAGTTACAAAGTGATCTGCAGATGGTTGCCACTTGTGCTGAGCTTGGAAGTATCTGGGAGAGGCTAAGCTGAGAACTGAGGCTGGCTGCCTCTAGTGCTGGGCTTAGGGCTGCTTAGCAAGCGGTACGGGGCACACCGAGGCCAGATGTTCCCTGTTTGAGTTTAGTGAACCTTTAAGAGATTTTGGGAAAGTCCATAGCATGAGCCAAGTAGGCCTTATGTATGTAAAAGCCACTTTTCTGGGTGGGCCTGAAAATTAGGTGGGGCGGGGTCTCGGAATCACCAGAGGTGGGGCAAATGTTGTTAACCAGGTTGATGAAGACTCAGATCTGGTGTCCACCTGCACCTGCGTGTGCACACAGGGTGCGTGGGGGAGGGCTCAGCAGCTCAACAAAGAAACAAAGGCTTCTGCCTGGGAGAAAGCTGCCCCTCCCGCCCTCACCCTGAAGCCAGACAATTCAATTTCTTTCTGTGTGTCCCTGGCGTCGAGCTGCTGCCCCAGCACTGGAGCTCAGATCAAGTCAGTCCATGAGCCAGTAAGTCCATGCATGGGCCCTTTAAGAGGTGCGACTGAGAGTCCAGTTGCCCTCCATTTCACTCAGCTTCAATCTACTGGTTTTTATAGCCAGAAATTACGGGGACTTCTCTCCTCAGCACTGGAACCCTGGGCTAGGGTGGGGCTGGGACCCCTCACTCTCCAGTGGGTAACTCCACCAGGGATATATCCCTCTTGATTTTTAATGACCACATGTCGTATGGGACCAGTCCATTCCACATCTCTGTCCCTCCTACCAGTCTCCATGTGGCTTTGTTTATCCTTAGTTGTAGGACTTCTGTTCAGCTATACTTCAGGTGATTCTCAATGATGGTTGCTCTTTAGTTGCAGTTTTGATGTGGTTTTGAGAGGAGTCAAGCACAGCATTTACTTACCCTGCCATCTTGACCAGAAGTTTCTCATTGAGCCTTTTCTTAAGCTTTTTTTTCCTTTCTTCCTTTCCTTCCTTTCTTTTATTAATTCATTCATTATTGACTTTGAGAAAAAGGACAGAGACTAGATTTTTCCAACAGGTATGTGTCATCACAATCCTTGCACTGGAAAACCTGTTTCACGGGCTCAGGGGTTTGCATCTTTTAGAGGAGAATTTTGGAAGAGCCGTGAAAAGCAGTGCTGGGAATTTAGGCCAACTCGTGGTGGTAACAGATGTTCCAGTACAATCCAGGAGCCTCTTGGACAGAAGAGTCATCCTCTTTCATCAACTGTGAAAGTGAGGTCACAACTATCTGAAGTCATAAGTGCCTCTCTCCCCAGGACATATCTGATAACTCTGGGATTTGGGCTAAATTTTGGTTTGGATAATTATTTGAGCCTAAGTTCCTTCAGATCTGAAATAGTACAATAACTTAAAGCAGAAGAGTGTGTTTGAAGAAAAACGGGGCTGTGAGTTTTCTGCCCCTTAATGGCATGCATGCCTTTCGAGCAAGGAGGGCTGTACCTCAGGTGGTTTGTGGTCCTGGGAATTTTCTTTGTTGCATTTGAGAAAGACTTTAATACTGTTGGTGCATGCGAAAATGAATTCCTACATCTGCGTACTTCATTTCAGATTTCTTGCGCTAAATTTTGCAAAAGAAAATGAGTGATTGTTTTATCATGTAGTGAGATATTATTTAATTCACATCTAACTTCTGGGTAACCTAGCCTGTCTTGTGTCTTGTTTGCTCTGCTAACACTGGGCACTTTGAATGCTTTTTATCTTGGGATCTAGGCACACTATATAAACCAGCCTGATTCTCCCCATTGGTACAGCTAAATTTATTGAGGCACAAGTCTCTAAAGGTCCCCAAGGGAGGCTGATAGAGGGCCGGAGACTCCTAATTTATTTTCCATTTTCAGTGAAGAGAAGGTTAAACCTTTAAGTGACAGAGAGCCACTTTTCCAAACCCTTGCCCTGGAA